AGCATTTTCCACCTCAGAAAGCAGTATTTTGGGTTCTTCAGGACAGTTATTTAATCTTCTTATAGTTATTGGACCATCTTCTTCCCGATACAGCTGATAGCAGTATTCCCTCCATCGCTCCAGAACATCTTTTAGCTCTGTCAAGGTGTTACCTCTACTGTCCTCTATTATCCAGCGTTTCGATTTGAAGGTACTTGTGAGTAATTTTATTTTTGAGAAGAAATCCCTAGATTGTCCCTTTTCTGCATATTTCTCTATTTCTTCGCAGAGTTCGTTGATGTGTTTGTCCTTGTCATTACGAGTAGATCTTTGTATCTCAGCATGGAGCTGGTTATACTGCTTTCTTTGGTAGTCTGTTGCGAGACCAGTGCCCTTCAAGATCTTGCGTTTCTCAATCAACGCCCAAGATTCTTTGCTTATCCATCCCTCCTTCGGGTGGATGGTTTTAAATAAGTCACAGCTTTCATTTACCGTATCCACAATAGCTTTTTTTAGGTGCATCCAATCAGCTTCGCTCGAATCAGATGGTTCCATATCCAACAAATTAATTTTATTGTCTATGGTTTTTTCAAAGTGGACTAGTGCTTCTTTAGATAAGTTCCCGACTTTCCGCGCTCTAGTTGGAATACTTTTTAGACGCAATCTAAAGTCAGCTATAACCAGCTGATGATCACTCCCACAGTCGGCTCCAGGAAAGGTTTTAGCATTAATGACCGATGAACGCCATCTTGACTGGACAGTGATGAAATCGATTTGGTTTCTGTGTCCCGTTGGTGAAGTCCATGTATACAGACGTCTCGGGTGGTTTTCAAACCAAGTATTCATTATAACCAGCTTGTTTTCAACACAGTATTGGATAAATTTTTCGCCTCTTTCATTTCTGTTTCCTAGACCATAGCCGCCAACAATGGAGCCCTTAAGTGGATCTTCCATTGTACATCCCACTTTCGCGTTCCAGTCACCTTCTACAATTGTTATTTCTCTTGATGGAATAGAGTGTAATAAAGAGTCCAGATCTCCATAGAATTGGTTTGATATCTCTTCTTCTGACTGAGCGGTGGGTGCATATACTTGTACTATGTTTATTGGAACAGGAGACCCATTGAGCTTTATGGCAATTATTCTATCGTTCACAGTTTTGTATCCTTTTACACTGTTTTGAAACTTCTTACGAATTATAAAACCTACTCCATTAGCACTGTTGTCGTTAGCACCGGAAAAGTACATAATGTTGCCGTTGGTGGTAATGAAATGGCCACTATCACGCATATGAACCTCGCTGAGTCCCAAAATATCGATGTTATATCTCTCCATTTCCTTCTCTACAACTTCTAGTTTGCCTGGTTTTATCAACCCTCTAACATTCCAAGTCCCCATGCGAAGGTGTTTCCGTAATGGGGTCTTCTTCTCGCCTGTTCCTTGACCAGTAGCATAATTTCCACTTCCTGTCTGGTGGTCCACAGAAGAGTGGCCGGTATCACATTTCACACCAGGTGACCCGGACTCACGCTGGCGCCGAGGGTCAGTCGGATCGCATGACATCACACTACTCTTGCTGGTACTTATCATCGTGGTTTTCTTGGGAAATAATTTATGCAGTAGTTTCCCGTTGCTTTCTGCACACAATCTTTTAGGGGATATTTAAGCCCCAAGGCCATTGAGACCTCTTCTGGCTGGTTGCCCAGTCCAGGTGTATGGTTATACCGCCATTTTTTCGGTCGCCAGAGCCTCGTCAGTTTTCTAGCAGGGAGCACCACGGTGGGTATTTGGCCACCGTCGCCAGCTATTCATTCGAACCACCGGCGCGGGCAGGTGAGGTTGGCATTTGGGTCGGGTAAGCTGTTATTTCCGTTCTCCCCTTGCCTCCAACAAAACAAAGATCATAAAAATCGGTCCAGTAGTTCTAAAGTTATGTGTTGTAACATACCCAACTTATTATAAGTATTCTGTTTTGTATTAATCTCATCATATTTAAACATGTTGCCTGTTCCAACATCTTAGGGGTGCCTGGAAGAGAACGCTGTTTGAGCGATAAGGCTGCCTCTTGTACAATTTATATTTTACTTGTACAATTTTTTGTGGATGTACATTAAAAAGTATATTTATTATTATTATCATTAATTTAATTCAAATATAAAATTACAAATGATATAAAAGTATTTTTAAATAAATCATACTTTTATTTGAATTTCTTCTTCTCCCTGCCCATTTCCCAAATCACTTGGGGTCGGCGCAGTACATCTTCAGTGTACTGCTGATAGGATTTGGCAAAAGTTTTACGACCGGCCGCCTGCCTGACGTCAACCCTCCTTGGGAATGCTATTGTCTTTCTTTGTCTGAATGGTGTTAAATATTATGCACTTTCGATTTTGTTGTGTTTTAAAACATTTTTTGTACTATTAATTCAATTATTAATGTTATTTTTGGATATATTTTAAAATAAATTTCGATTACACAATAAATTTTGTATTGACATTGTCAAATTTTTTCTTCGAATACTTTTATTTGAATTCATTGATAATAATTGTACACAGAGAGGTATTTCGTTAGTATCTCTTTATCTATTAACTAATCAATATCTACAGTTTATCTAATATTGTACATCTATAACATTCATAATAACACAAACATTTATAAAACGTCCGTCGTTATCATTTGTCGGGAACATTGAGTTTCAAGAGTTATATAGTTTTAGCTTTTACATTACAACTTCTAAGTAAATACACTTACAGCGTACACACTAAGTAAAGATAAATAGAAAAGACTTAGATTGTTACATATACCCACTAAAACTTAGTAAAATAACTCAAATAAAAACCACAAACTCGTTTTAATTTAATTTTAGTTAAATGCAAAAAAACTAGGTGAAGCAGATTCAAATCTTAGGTCTCGCAGCTCAGAGATTTTTATGTCCAAATCTCATTTTCAAAATACAGGCTACCTACCTGTTAGTAGTATCGAAATTCTTACGAGTGTGATACGCCAACTCGCTTTTATCTTACCACGGATACTGGTCTCAAAATTATGTGTAAGTACCTAAGTGTAAGTAAACGTGGTATATACTATTAAGATGTATCTTGTTTTCTCAAATACTTAAGTGAATCGTATTATTTCATTTAGAAATAAATTCTTAAACCGTAATAATATTGTGAAGAATCATGAAAGTTTAAAGACTTATATAGTTTTACTGTTCAAGTAAAAATCAGTCAAAGTCGTCTCGCGAAACCTAATTTTTTAGCAATATTGTTGAGATTTATGGTGTAGAAAATATAACTTGACCCGATCCTTTTAGTCTCAAGAGGCTGAAAGTTGTAATAGCTGTAGACGATGAGGCTTACGAGGTCGATCACAGTCAATGAGAAGATTTGAAGTGGAAGAGGGGGATTTGTTATAAACAATGCCGCAATCCTCGAGACACTCATCTCGAATCGAAAGCGGATGCTAATATATTTCCTATTGAGTTCGGAATAGTTTAACCTTAGAACTTTTACAATTTATACTTGATTTTGGAATAAATTACCTGTAATCCAAACTTTTGGCTTCTACCTTTAATTTATAGTCCAGTCAAATAAAACCTCCATAACTCGGTTAATTTTGACCGGAGGAAAAAAGTCATGATACTTTTGTATGTAAAATTTTAAGCTCTACATATTTTTATTAAATCGTTTTTGTCTAATTTTACCATTTTCAAGTAATTGCGAAAAAACATTTTTGACTATTTTTTTTCAACCCTTGCCGGGGTTGCAGACACGAAAGTCGAAAACCTTTACACATTGTTTTTGTATGATTGAAACTACATTATATCAAAAATGCAAAGTTGAGTGCCAAATTTTGTTTTCAGATCTTATTTGACTGGACTATTAACAGTTCATTCTCTTTATAATATACATATATCCGTTACTTTTATTTTATTATAAACGACTGCGTGCTATGTGCGTGCATAACACGTTGATGTAAAAGAGCTAATGTTATTAACTTTTATTGTCGCAAGGGAAATCTTCAAAAAATAACTGACAGTAAGGTTGGGTCACTGTGTTCCGTGGGATTCACTTGGAATAATACAAACCGATACATATATGTATATTCAATTGTAACATCTGCACATAGTGGATTTAAAATATTCAAGATATATTATATCTGCAATCTTGTTTAATACGTACGACAGCATAATAGAAACCTTAAATCTATACATATAATAAAATTCTAACTAAGCCGAATCTGTACATTAAATATTTTTTGAAAAATCTTATTGAAATAGACATTATTATCGATACAGAGGCCGAACCTACACTTTTTAGAATTTTTGTCTGTCTGTCTGTCAGTTACCGCATCACGGAAAACCCACTGGAAGAATTTTGATGAATTTTGGTATGATGATAGCTGGTTATCCGGGTCAACATATAGAATACTTTTTACCGCGGGAAAATATCTCATTTCTGAGAAAAAATACAAAAACTGCTTTGTAATAGTATACTGATATGTAAAACCTAATAATTTGGTTTTTGGTCATCTGAATGCGGGCGGAGCCGCGGGCAGTGCTAGTTATTAATAAGCGACATACGTGACACAACATTTTACAAGGTAGGTAGGTACATGATTTGTAATCTATAATATAAGATATAAAACAAAAATACTTAAATGAAACGTTTTAAAGCATTTAAAATAACAAAATAAATCTCATATTAAACCAATATTAGGCATACATAGGCATATTAGGTATCGTATTATGTATGCATGCTTGTACATTAATAGGAAATACTCAATATTTGGTTGCCCGACTTGATAATATTACAATTAACTGCCTCGGTGGTGTAGTGGCTAGCATGTACGGCTGCACACCCGGAGGTCCTGGGTTCGAGTCCCGGGTCGGGCCAAGTTTAGTTATTGAGTGTTCCTGTATAGTAAGTCTCAGTAACAGCCCGGAGTTGGGAAGTTGGCGGTGTTTCACCCCCGTTCCTCGGAGAGCACGTAAAGCCGTCGGTCCTGCGCCTTAACTCTCACCGGTCGTGTCGAGTGGTCGTCCCACCGGAGTATGAGAGTGATAGGAATAGAGAGTGCACTTGTGTCTGCGCGTACACTTGAGCACTATAATATCTCCTGCGCAGTTGGCTCATCTCATTGAGATTGGCCGCCGTGACCGGAATCGGCTAGGAGAACATCATCATCATTATAATTATTAATTATAAAGCAAAAATTATATTATTTATTACCTTATAGTGGTTTATTTTTTTAATGATAGGTTATTTTCATTTATTTGTGTATTTTTAAAGTCGGTTGTTTTTAACTTATCAGCTTTATATTTTATTCTAAATTTTAACTTTAATAGATTTTTTTAATGTTGAGAAATGCATTGGCCATACCACATACATACACACAGGTGGTTACACGGGACTCGCCCTTTTACTTTAACTTTAATAAATATAATGCATCTCATTCATTTTTTTTTTTTTTTTAATCTTTATTTTTATAGAGGGTTTTTTCACAAAGCGAAAATGTCACCCTCATCATTGCTTACAAATACATATAATATAAATAACAAATTCACTTACTTCTAAGTTTAATCACTAATTTAACTAATTTATAAAGCATCTTAGCTTTATTAGACAAAGGATTAGCTAAAATACTATTACAGTATCCAACATTGTTTCCACGTTGAGGTAATATCAATGATCTTTGTGCTTTAACTCGGTCACATTCTTCTAATACATGATAGACATCTTCTACTGTACCACACAGGGCACAATTGGGAGAACTTACTTTGCCCATCATGTAACCAAAACTATTTAAAGGGATGTGACCAGACCGAATGCGAAATGCAATGATAACCTCTTGTCTACTTATCTTTTCTAATTCAAACCATAGTGAACCCATAAGTTTAGGCTGAATAGTTTTGTACCAGATTCCTTTAGTAAGGGAACGCTCATCAAAATATTCTGACCACAAATTTAGACAGTTTTTCCGTAAATCCCCTATATAGTCAGTAAACCAAGGTACATATTCGTAATGACTTCCCTCAGAAATTGCTTCCTTGGCCAGACGGTCAACTTTTTCATTGCCAGCTAGCCTAATATGCGATGGAATCCATTGTAAGATTACATTTTTATTTGAAGTGTTGAGTTCATTTAAATTATTTAAAATCGTAAAGGCAATAGGATGTCCTCTAAAATTCATTGTACACTTTAAAAGGTAAAAAAGAGCACTTTTAGAGTCAGTGTAAACCACAAAATTTTGATAATCAATAGTTTGGATGTACGAAATGGCTTCGGCAATTGCTATAAGTTCAACAAACATTATAGATATTTGAGCACTGATACTAAATTTACAACATGTCCCTGTTTTTAAATCCAAAAAGGCCGCTCCACAACCTGCTTCTTCTTTAGACCCATCAGTATAAATTTCATAATAATTTGGATATGCTACACTTAATGTCTTAATACAAATCATTTTCAATATATCGCGTTCGTAACAATGTTTAGGCTTATTAACAATATCTAAATTAGGTTTCACTGCCTTATCTATATTTAAATTGGAGAGCCATATATCTAAAGAGAATATTTCATTAAGACTACTTTTATAAATTTCATTACACTTTAAAAAATTGTATACTGATACCAAAAGTGGTTGTTTCTTACGTCTCCAAAATAAAACATTTGTAAAGTTGGATAAGGTCTCAAGGATACTTAGCATTGGGCTATTACTAAATGACATAACTTTTAATAAAAATTTACCTGCTAAAAAGCGTCTGCGGATAGACAAGGGGCACAAATTTAATTCTGACTCCATTATATGGATAGGTGTACTTTTAACAAAACTGCCTATTAATCGTAAAAATATATTTTGAATTTTATCTAATTTTGCTAAATTACTTGTACAACTATTGTCAAAGAGGAAGCTTGCATAATCCAGTCTGCTACGTATAAGCGAAAGATATAGATGTCTTAAATGTGTAGGATGTACACCCCAGCCTGGACCAGTCAATAATTTGAAATTTTTTACAAATTTTAATATCTTTTCTTTAATTGCCAATATATGTTTACCCCACAAAAGCTTTCGATCGAGCCATAATCCTAGATACCTAACAGTGTCTGCTACATCTATCCGGCATCCATTCAAGAAAATATTTATTATTTCTCTGAAATTTCCCCTCTTAAATATACAAACCTTGCTTTTCTCTGGAGAAATATCTAAACCTAGCGTTGACAGCATTTTATTGATACAATCTAAGGCGTATTGTATTTTAATTTGACCTTCCTGAGCTGATGAACAGTGAACATATACAACAAAATCGTCAGCGTATTGCGAAATGTAACATTTTTTTTCAATATATTTGCAAATATTTATTGTTGCTACATTAAATAAAAGCGGGGATAAGGGATCACCTTGAGCTAGCCCACATCCTGTTGATCTACTTATCAAACGTCCTTCTATTTTAATATTTAAAACACGTTTATTCAGAAAGTTAAACAAGTATCTGCAAATTTTTGATCCAACTTTGAAGTGGTCTAAAATACCAATTAATGAACTGTTGTCAATATTGTTATATGCATTTTTAATATCTAAGAAAAGAGCCATTGTTGATAATCCATTCGAAAAACCTATTTGAATTCTTGATGTGAGGTTACTCAAGCTGTCCAAACATGATCGATTTTTCCTGAACCCAAAAACATTTTCTGAAAAATAATTGTTTTTTTCCATGTACCACTCAAGTCTTTTGTATAAAATATAATGAAATATTTTACAAAGACATGAGATTAAAGCAATCGGCCGAAAAGATTTTTCGTCACCCTGATTTTGTCCTGCCTTTGGAATTGGTACTATACATATGTCCCGCCATTGCTTCGGTACAAAGCTGTGAGTTAAAAAATTATTGTACAGAGACAAAAGAATTAATTTTCCTGACATATGTAAATTTTTGACCATTGAATATGATATATCGTCACATCCAGGGGATGTGTCCTTAGATTTAATACATTTATCTAACTCCTGAATTGAAATTGGGCATTCAATTGTAATATTTGTACTTCGAATATCGGGACAAGGTGGGGAAACGTAATCAGGGGCTAATGAACGAAGCAGTTTTTCAGCTTCTATATCATTTATATGACGCTTAGACTTTCTAAAACCTTTCATCCAGGACATTTTATGCCACATTTCATTGGAAGTTGTTGATTTATCCACCGAAGACCATGAATTCTGGAAATCTTTGTTCCTAGCATAACGAATATCTCGCTGCGCAACACTTATGTGTTTTTTAAGTTTTATGTAATTATTCGGGCTGGGATTCCGTCGAAATATTGCAAGGGCAAGTCTACGCTGAGCTACTTCATGGGATAATTCCTTTGTCCAAAAAGATCTAGGGGTAAACTTAGATTCCGGGTTCTGATTATACTTAACTAGAGGTATATTTTTGGCAGCAGCCTCGTTTATTTTAGAGATAAATAAATCATAACCTTTTTGAAGATCTACAGGTAAAATGAGATCAGTGAACAATTTCTCTGTGTCATTTTTATATGAAGTCCACTTGGCTTTGCGAAAGTTTCGCTTTACTATAGGGTTAATTAAAGAATTCGAAATACAAGAAACCTTCACCATTAAGTGGTCACTCCCCAATGTTTCATTTATCACCCTCCAGTTGAATTGTAAAGCAATATCTGAAGAAACTAAGGTAATATCAGGTGAGGATTGTTGAAGCCTCCCATTGACTAAGCGCATCCTAGTAGCCTCACCATTATTTAAAGTTATAAAGTTACTATCGACTAAAGCATCAAACATAAGTGATCCCTTATAATCTATCTTATTCGACCAATTACTGTGATGCGCATTGAAGTCTCCTAATATTAGTGTTTTTTTAGTATACAAAGATAGAAGCCTATCCCAATCACTTTTACTTATAATCAAAGAGGGAGGACAGTACACTGATAAAATATAATCTATAGGACTGAAATTACTTAACTTTACACATAAAATTTCCATACCGCTATTGTCTATCCGCACACGTTGTAGTGAAGAATGCACAGATTTGTGTACACAAATAGCAACACCACCAAATCCATCTTGCCTATCTAGCCGGTAAATATTATACCCACGTATATTTAAATAAATGTCAGGTTTAAGCCAAGTTTCACTTAAAACAGCAACATGAATCTTTTCCTCATTTAACACCTCAACAAATGAACTCAACTTAGGTCTAATACTTTGCGCATTCCATTGAATAATGTTCCTATTGCTAATACTTCTAGGCATCATTTTATCTTACATACTAATTCTACTAAAAACTTTAATAAAGGCCATTTTGTTATCTGCTCAAAAAGAAATATAACGAGCCACTCAATAATTAATTTAGATGAATTAAATACTTTATGAGAAAAGCTAAGTTTACTTAGAAATAACACTTCTTTTACTCGCAATAACAATTCCTTAAAAGTTAATTTGCCCTCATATTTCAGATCCTCGCTTACATTCTCTTCCTTTTGACTCTCAACCTCTGCATATATAAATTCGTAATCCGACTGACTTGTGGTGTTTTGGTTTTCCTTTTGTTCCCTTTGTGTCCGTTTCATACGTGGTCTTCGGTGCTCAATGAAATTAGATGAACTTTTATTCTGTTCACTCTTTTTTTGTATGTCATGAATTTCCACCGATGTTTTAACTATTTCTGCAAAAGTAGGTGAGCCCTGGTTAAAGCCCAAAGGATTCTTATTCTCATAAGATGTGGTTGGTTGAATACTCACTTCTCGTTCGATAGGTTTTTGTGGTGTAAAAGTCGATGCGTAAACATTTAAAGCCTTTCTGAACGTACAGCCAAAATCCGCCATAATTTCCCGAATTTTTTTTTCTTTTAAAAAGGTTGGACAAATTTTAGAAAGGGCTATATGATTTCCCGAGCAATTGACACACTTAAATATTTGAGTTTCACAATTTTCATGGTTATTTCCACACTTAGGACAGACAACCTTCTTAGCTGAGCACGTTTTACGAGTATGACCAAATTTCCAACACAACGAGCACTGAGAAACTTGAAAAACAAATGGTTCAACCGAAATCCTTAAGCCGAACCCAAGGACAAAAGCTGGGATGGACGACCCCTTAAAACATACGCGAATTGATTCGCTAGGTCGCCAGCCTCCATTATCTCTGTCAAACCTATTAAGTCGCTTAAGTGATAGGATTTCAATAGAAAAAGGACAAGATATATTATTCAAAATTTCTTCTTCACTCAAATCAAGGTCAACATCTCTAATAACACCATAACAATATGACACTTCCATAGCTTTATATATTCTCCAACCTTTACGAATTAACTCTTCGCATTCCAAAATATTTTTCATAGTCTCCTCGTTCTCCAGATGCAACCGCACTTTATAGGGTGTTATGTATTTAACGTGATTGATGCTAGTGATATTGAGCTGTTGAAAGGTTCTTGCTAGGGCGAATTGTTTGGGCAACTTATCTTTAGAGGAGATATATATTTCAAAATTATGATTGCTCACATTCACGTCAATCTCACTTCGAAGACATGTTCTCTTCCCTTTTCCTCGAACCTTGGTCCATCCTTCTTCAGCATCCCCTGTCTCGCTCTCCTCACTATTTTCTAACTGTCTCTTTTTTTCTCTATTTCCTTCATTTTCTTTCAAAAATACTCTTTCCTCTCTTTCTGTACTATTCATGACGTCATCATAACTGTCTAAATCTTCGACATTATCACGCAGTAATGGAATACTGCACGGTTCTATATTGTCATCACTCATAGTAATATTTTATTATACGCTGCATTGGTAAGACGCACACGAGTTACCGGTCAAACCAGTTCCGTCGGCAAGAAACTGACGTTAACTATATGTACAAGTGTCTCAGTCGAGTGACGACTGCTAACTCATCTCATTCATAAACACATTAACTTTCATTGTTTATGTCTACAATTTAGTTTCAAATTGGGCTTTAGCATCACATTATTATTATATTTATATACGTAATTACGGAATCCAAGGAAGTAAGCGATAAGCCTTTTAATTATTATTTCTCCCCTTTTTAATATTTGCCATAATATCATAGTCTTTGAAAATTTCAACCGCCGACCTCTTACAGTTTACGAGATAAAGCTCTGTAATGAACAGACAAATGGTCGGATACACGGACGGATGGACAGATAACGACTGAATAGATCTGAGATGTTATAATAGACTATTCTCAAGCTGCTTTCATTTTGCTCAGATTGTACTCCCATCCTGTGCGTCCAACAAACTTTTATGTTTGAAAGCTTATAAAGTGTTCATTTTGATATCTCAAGTATTTATTTGAATAGGTACTAGCAGAACCCGCGGCTTCGCTCGCGCTAAAACTACAAAAAAATCTAAAAAAGTAGTTTCGTACAAAGTTTCATTTCCAATTTACCCCCTTATAGAATGAATTTAAAAAAAAAATGCTAAAACACATATTTATTTAATTTTATTGAAGAGCATTAATAGTTTCTAGTAATTCTGATCATAAATATTTTTTTAGATTGTATTATACCATGTTTTCCCGTGGGAATTAAATAATGTCTCGCGGTAAAAAGTATTGTAAGTCACTCTCCAGCTGTCCAACTATCTCCATACAAAAAATCACGCCAAGCCGTCACTCCTTTTCGACGTGAAAGAAGGACAAACAAATAAACAAACAAACAAACAAACAAGCAAACAAACAAACAAACAAACAAACAAACACACTTTCAATTTTATAATATTAAGTATGGATCGTTACTAAGTATAATTACTACAATAATCTCTTGAGAAATAATACAACACTGATCGAATTATCCAGTAGTTCTCACACTAACATAATCGTTGTGTAGTACTTATGTATATTTATTTATTTATGCAAATATAATGTCAGTAATAAATTGGTGTTAGATTGAATTTCGTATTAAGTCAATTGTATTTAATAATAATTATAATAAACTTGAATATAAATTCAAAACAGAATTTTTAAATGAAGGAGATAGTCACTCAGTCTAAGAGATGCAGCGGTTATCGACTACGGTCCGGAAATTAATGTGTCGAGTGACGGCCACCACTGCTTCAGAGCACGAGTTCCATGCTTATTGCTACTAAATAAACATAATTAAGTAGTAATAATATCTTTATAGATATTACTATAAGGTATAAGTAGCAAAAAGTACTTCATTTATGACCAGTTTCTACCCGGCTCAATCGATCGATAATGTAGAAACATTATCCCGATTAAGCGGGGTTTAAATTACTATAGTTACAAGTGACACCTGGCTTATATATAATAACTATCATTGCCCGCGGCTCCGCCCGCGTTCAAATGACCAAAAACCAAATTCTTCTTAAGTTTTACATATTAGTATAATCTTACATTGCAATTTTTGTATTTTTTCTCAGAAATGAGATATTTTCCCGCAGTAAAAAGTATCCTATATGTTGACCCGGATAGCCAGCTATCACCATAATTTTTTTTATTAAAATCCCTCCTGTGGTTTTTCTGTGATGCGGTAACAGACAGATAGACAGACAGACAAAAATTCTAAAAAGTGTAGATTCGGCCTCTGTATCGATAATAATGTCTATTTCAATAAGATTTTACAAAAAATATTTAATGTACAGATTCGGCTTAGTTACAATTTGATTAAATTGAGAAACATTTTTGAATGAGGGATGCATATTCAAACACACGGAATAGGCCTAATCATCAAAATATCAATCAATGCCTAACAACTTTTTAAACCAATTTGAAATTTTTTGATTACTTTTTGGTTTGCTTCATAGTTTTGTTCATACCTATTGGTATGATGGTAGATGAACGAGTGGTTTATCTTTGCTTCGCTCGGGTGTGCCTCTCGGTGTCTTTTGCATTTATAATATTCCCACAACCACTTCTCTTGATCTTCATAATAAAATATCACTTTTTATTTTCTATAAATATAATATACCAGAATATATAACTTATATTAATATTTATATAATGAAATCGTAATAGATACACTGACAGAGTTACTTTCGCATTTATAATATTAGTATGGATGGATGTATAACAGGACGTAACAAATTTGAATATTCTTACATTTATTAAAATTAACAGGGTTTGAACTAAAATCCATTTAAATTCCAATCATATACGGAACCCTGTCGTCACATGACTTCCGTTCACGCTATACATTTAAAAACCAGTAATTTTTTTCTTTTATAAGTAGTTTTGTTTATGAATAACAATGATGTTACATTTCATTGTGATTTCTTACCAAATTTACTCATATTGGGGTCATCCAATAGTATAAGTCATTAAACAACAACAAACGATAATAATATGACGCACTATGATTAATTTAATATGTCTATGTGAGACAATTTACCTGGTGCGATTCACCAGCAAAGTGAGTTTGACCTATATTTTAAAGGTATCGATCGACCAACTACAAACAAAGGTCGACATGCACCAGTGAAATGAAGTCAGACATTTATCAATACGCAGAGAAACCGAACCTGTTGCATTTAACATTTACTAACAGTATAGTATTATGATCTGTGCTAACACTAATATGTACCTAATTCTTCTTTGAAAATAACAATCATATATATTTCGTTACGTCAATTATATTCTAATTCAGCTCGCATCATAGAATTGGTCGCAATTTTGAATCCGCGAGTATTGAAAACTCGTATAAAGGAAGCGTGAGTAAGGAGCTTTTACGTATTAAAATATGTATGTTTTACAGTGGGCCGCCATGTTGCAGTTATATACAATGAAGTTACGCATACATACATCAATTTCTATATATATATATATATATATATATATATATATATATATAAATGAATCCCTATTTCCCTTGGTCACGCCATCACGCGTGAACGGCTGGACCGATTTAACTATTTTTTTGTTGTGTTTGTTATTGTCAGGAGAAGGTTCATATGAAAGATTATTTTTTTTAAAATTGCGGAAAATTATAAAATTTTAGAATACTTATTTAAAAATAGAATAATAAGTATTAAAACATCAGAAAAATTAACGGAACAAAAAATTAAAATGTATATGGCTAAAGCTGGCTAATAACTATTTATATCTATTTAAAACGTACCTAGCGACGAACCCGAGCGAAGCGAGGGTGAGCCGCTAGTTCAATATAATAATATGTAAATACACTATACAAAAGTATAATAAGATCACTTAAAGTATTCATTTTATTTATATTGAACTAATATTTTAGGATCTTAAAGAAGATACAAAGGTTTTTGACTCACTCGAATGAGAGAGACTTAGAGAGTCAGTTGCAGAAAAGAGCGCTGTGTAGGTACTGAGAAGGAGATGAGCCAACATCGATCAAACGATCTATATGTATGTACCTATATATTCTTTGCATTTGGATGTAGATATTACATTAATTGAAGTCGTTGTTACTGTATACCTAATACATAACAGGTTTTATTTTACCTACTGCATATTTATTTAATTGCACCATAATAAGTTGTATGATAATAATTTTACTAATTATTCAACTAGTGTCGTTAAGCAACTTATTGATATTAGAAATATGGAAATTCCCAAGCGCTCGGAACGAGTCCCATTTTCCATACACGACTAGGTAGGTAAATGTGTACGTTATATTATGTTTTACTAGCGACTCACCCTCGCTTCGTTTCCGGTTCGTCCCTAGTGAAAAACAAAAACAAATGTATCCCACGGGCATCGTACATATTTCCGGGATAAAAAGGAGCCTTTGTACTATTTCAGACTATAATCTATCTCTGTGCCTTTCATCCAGACCCGTTTAGCCGTTCTGATGTGAAAGAGTAACAAAGATCCATCTATCCATCCTCACATACTTTCACATTTATAAATAATATAAAATCCAAAATGTAAAACCTTACAAATGAATACATAGAAAAATGTAAATAAGAACAATTAAAAGTAATTACAACAAGTTTTTATTATAGCTTCATTAATAATATCGCAAGTTACGTAGTTGTTTTTGTATTTACATGAATATATGTACATATAATTATGTTTGATCTTCTTAATTTCTTTTTAAATGATAAACTTATGATAGATAGAAATCATAACATTTGCTTTTACTATTTTTTGTCGGTCTGCCTGTTTCTTGCATCACTCGAGGGACAGGAGGGATTTTAATTTCATCTACTTATTACAGTAAAAGGTGGACGCTATTATATTATTCTAATAGTATTGTGTAAATTGCAGATCACATAATACTATACTAGTAAATAGAAATATACCGATAAAAGCTGCTACCAGTAGCTATTTACAAATAAAACACAACAGCAATGAATTGTAAAACAGCCCAAAATAAACCTTTATTTGATGTATAAGCTGAAAACATTCACGTGTACTTTAGATGTACACTTTTACATGCATATAATAAAATATTTTACAAGCAAATCATTTTTATGTTTACGCAAAATAGCCCAAATACCTGTTACTTATATCATCGTGGGTTTCCAACATACGTTCCAACATAATGACGTTTTCACAACCGCAAATTATAATAAGAGGAATCGGATGAATAATACTCGTCAAGTATTAATTTCCTGTTTTAATACTTAGCACAAATACTACGAGTCAGTCTGTCGACATCGCTTTAGTGCGCATCGTGAGGTGAAATAAATAAAGTGATATCCAATGTAAACACTATGGAAAGTACAACAGATAGTGATTTTTTAAAAGAAACGGCCATCACTAATTCAGATACAACAGACACAAGCATATACAATGACACAGAAGTTGCACACGG